ACTAAGGGGCAGCACCGGACTAAGGGGCAGTACCGGACTAAGGGGCAGCACCAGGATAAGGGGCAGCACCGGGCTAAGGGACAGCACCGGACTCAATGGCGGATCCTGGCTGGCTGGCTCTGGCGGATCCTGGCTGGACGGCTCTGGCGGATCCTGGCTGGCTGACGGATCTGGCTGCTCATGGCTGGCCGACGGATCTGGCTGCTCATGGCTGGCCGACGGATCTGGCTGCTCATGGCTGGCTGACGGATCTGGCTGCTCATGGCTGGCCGACGGATCTGGCTGCTCATGGCTGGCCGACGGATCTGGCTGCTCATGGCTGGCTGACGGATCTGGCTGCTCATGGCTGGCTGACGGATCTGGCTGCTCATGGCTGGCCGACGGATCTGGCTGCTCATGGCTGGCCGACGGATCTGGCTGCTCATGGCTGGCCGACGGATCTGGCTGCTCATGGCTGGCTGAAGGCTCTGGCTGATCCTGTCTGGCGGAAGGCTCTGGCTGATCCTGTCTGGCGGAAGGCTCTGGCTGATCCTGTCTGGCGGAAGGCTCTGGCTGATCCTGTCTGGCGGAAGGCTCTGGCCGATCCTGTCTGGCGGAAGGCTCTGGCCGATCCTGTCTGGCGGAAGGCTCTGGCTGATCCTGTCTGGCGGAAGGCTCTGGCTGATCCTGTCTGGCGGAAGGCTTTAGCGGCTCCGGTCTGGCGGACGGCTCTGAAGGCTCATGGCAGACGGGCGGCTTATGCAGCGCTTGGCAGACGGACAGTTCAGACAGCGTTGGGCAGACAGGCAGTTCAGGCGCCGTTGGGCAGACGGGCAGTTCAGGCGCCGTTGGGCAGACGGGCAGTTCAGGCGCCGTTGGGCAGACGGGCAGTTCAGGCGCCGTTGGGCAGACGGCAGACTCTGGCCGGCCGAGACGCACTATAGGCCTGGTGCGTGGTGCCGGAACTGGTGGTCCCGGGCTGAGGACACGTATCTCAGGGCTAGTGCGGGGAGCAGCAACAGGGCGCACAGGACTCTGGGGACACACAGGAGGCTTGGTGCGTGGTGTAGGCACTGGTGGTACTGGGCTGGAGCGGGGAGGTGGCGCCGGAAATACCGGACCGTGCAGGCGTACTGGCTCCCTTGAGCACTGAGCCTGCCCAACCTTACCTGGTTGTATACTCCCCGTCGCCCGACCAGTACGGGAAGGAGGAATAACCCGCACCGGGCTATGTAGGCGAACCGGGGACACCATGCGTAAGGCTGGTGCCATGTAAGCCGGCCCGAGGAGACGCACTGGTGGCCTGATGCGTTGGGCCGGCTTCATGACATCCGGCTCAACGCTCAATCTAGCCCGGCCGATACGTGGAGCTGGAATGTACCGAACCGGGCTATGCCTGCGTACAGGAGACACCATGCGCTCTACTGCGTAACACGGTGTCTGCCCGTACTCTCGCTCTCCACGGTAAGTCCAGGGAGTAGGCGCAGGTCTCCTACCTGACTTCGCCACACTCCCTTTTAGCCCCCCCCCAAGAAATGTTTGGGTAGTACCCACGGGCTTCCAGCCTCGACTCCGTGCTGCCTCCTCATACCACCTCCTCTCGGCTTTAGCTGCCTCCAGCTCTTCACGAGGGCGGCGATATTCTCCCGGTTGTGCCCAAGGACCCTTTCCAGCCCGTATCTCCTCCCATGTCCATGAATCCTTTGGAGGCGTCCATAAATCCTGTGTAGGTAGGTCCTGTTGCCGCTTGACACGCTGCTTGGTCCTTTTACGGTGGGTTTTTCTGTCACGACCGTCTTGAAAGGGAGCAGACCAAAGCGCAGCGCGTTGAGTGAACATGATGACTTTAATTGATAAAGCACGTAAATACAAAACAAAAGACGATAGTGAAGTCCAACAGTGACTATGACTGAAACGGAACAAAAACCCACAATTCCCACAGGAAAACAATCAGATTAAATATGGCTCCCAATCAGAGATAACGAGCCGACAGCTGACACTCGTTACCTCCGATTGGGAGTCATTGACCAAACCTAGACATAAACCCCACAGAACTGCAAACATAGAAATACACCCAAAACCCAACATAACCAAACCAAAACCCAACAAAACAAATACACCCTGGCTCAAATATAAAAGTCCCGGAGCCAGAGTGTCACATTCTCTAAATGGTCTGATGCTGGAATACTCATATGGGAGCTGACTAAACCCATCACAACGCAACAGGCCTTGGGGAGTTGGGGATGTTATCAATGTTCAACTCATAATGACATAAGGTGAAGGTTTGGGTATTGGAGGAAGGGCTGATCTTTATGGGGAGCCTTGATCCTACTGGCTGTTGTTGTTGTCTTCTGCAGACGATGTGGCTTCGTCCATCAGACGTGATAACTCAGAGCAGAGGTCACTTTCCAGTTTGATTGGAATGCCCACAACCCCCCTCTCCTGCCACAGATTGTCTGGGCTGTAAATCTGTCATCACTGTCATGGCGGCAGAGATAGATGGCCACCTGTCACTGTGTTGTAACAAGAAGCAGTGAAGTACAGTGCCTTGCAAAAGTATTCATCCCACTTGGCATTTTTCCTACTTTGTTGAAATTACAACCTGTAATTTAAATGGATATACACAAAATAGTCCAAATTGGTGAAGTGAAATGAAAAAAATAACTTGTTTCAAATGTATGTGGTCCTCTGTAGCTCAGCTGGTAGAGCACGGCGCTTGTAACGCCAAGGTAGTGGGTTCGATCCCCGGGACCACCCATACACAAAAAAAAAAATTATGCACGCATGACTGTAAGTCGCTTTGGATAAAAGCGTCTGCTAAATGGCATATTATTATGTATTCACCCCCTTTACTATGAAGCCCCTAAATAAGATCTGGTGCAACCAATTACCTTCAGAAGTCACATAATTAGTTAAATAAAGTCCACCTGTGTGCAATCTAAGTGTCACATGATCTGTCACATGATCTCAGTATATATGCACCTGTTCTGAAAGGCCCTAGAGTCTGCAACAATACTAAGCAAGGGGCACCACCAAGCAAGCGGCACCATGAAGACCAAGGAGCTCTCCAAACAGGTCAGGGACAAAGTTGTGGAGAAGTACAGATCAGGGTTGGGTTATAAAAAAAATATCAGAAACTTTGAACATCCCACGGAGCACCATTAAATCCATTATTAAAAAATGGAAAGAATATGGCACCACAACAAACCTGCCAAGAGAGGGCCGCCCACCAAAACTCACGGATCATGCAAGGAGAGCATTAATCAGAGAGGCAACAAAGAGACCAAAGATAACCCTGAAGGAGCTGCAAAGCTCCACAGCGGAGATTGGAGTATCTGTCCATAGGACCACTTTAAGACGTACACTCCACAGAGCTGGGCTTTACGGAAGAGTGGCCAGAAAAAAGCCATTGCTTAAAGAAACAAATAAGCAAACACGTGGAAACATATGGAAAAGGGTTCTCTGGTCAGATGAGACTAAAATTGATATTTTTGGCCATCAAGGAAAATGCTATGTCTGGCGCAAACCCAACACTTCTCATCACCCCGAGAACACCATCCCCACAGTGGAGCATGGTGGTGGCAGCATCATGCTGTGGGAATGTTTTTCATCGGCAGGTAGTGGGAAACTGGTCAGAATTGAAGGAATGATGGATACCGCTAAATACAGGGAAATTCTTGAGGGAAACCTGTTTCAGTCTTGCAGAGATGTTCACCTTCCAGCAGGACAATGACCCTAAGCATACTGCTAAAGCAACACTCGAGTGGTTTAAGGGGAAACATGTAAATAAAATAAAAATAAAAAATGTAAATGTCTTGGAATGGCCTAATCAAAGCCCAAACCTCAATCCATTGAGAATCTGTGGTATGACTTAAAGATTGCTGTACACCAGCAGAACCCATCCAACTTGAAGGAGCTGGAGCAGTTTTGCCTTGAAGAATGGGTATAAATCCCATTGTGCCAAGCTTATAGAGACATACCCCAAGAGACTTGCAGCTGTAATTTATGCAAAAGGTGGCTCTACAAAGTATTGACTTTGGGTGGGTGAATGGTTACGCACGCTCAAGTTTTCAGTTTTTTTTGTCTTATTTCTTGTTTGTTTCACAATAAAAAATATTTTGTATCTTCTAAGTGGTAGGCATGATGTGTAAATCAAATGATACAAACCCCCAAAAAATCGCAAGCCTCTGTTTGAGGGAAAAAGGAAGGGATCAAATCAAGCTCCTGGTTTCAATTAAATCAAGGAAGCATAATGGTTATCAAACACATAGGCAGCAAGCCCAATATGCATATGCCTACCAAATCGGCTAATTATTTTACCCAAGATTCAACAGTACATAATCAGCATTTTGATATACTGTAGAAACACAGATAACTTTTGCACCTGGAGTTTGTCTAATAAAATCTGTCAATTAAATGGCTGGGCTGCCGAAGGGATGAAAAAAGACTCCAGATTGTGTCTTTTCAATATAAAGGAAATAATAACTGACCATGAAGTCATATAGTAGGCTCAGTTACATAAAGCTCAAGAGCTCTTAGATATGAGAGATATTGAGTTAGGTTATGAGTAATCCTAAAACATGTCCCAGAATACCAGTCCAGATGTCATAGTGTCATACTGTACAGTTGTCATACCACATACCATACAATAGTACCCCATGGTATATTACCCATAAATCACTCTGATGAATGTTAATTTAAAATACACAAAAAACATTAAACATTAAAACATTAATCAGTCAGTTATTGCAAAGGCTACAGACACAACAGTTGTATATTTTGTAGGCTATACTTTTTGGGGGGTTTAAAACATTTGCATTTGTTAATAAGTTTGTTTTGTTTATTTGTGAGGCAACCTACATTTATGAAAGCTGCATTAAATTATAAACTGCACTGAGACTTTCCAATAAGATCAATAATTAGAGTGATATTTTTTATAATGCATGAAATTCTGTTTGACTGTCTGACAAACTATGCAAACGATGTATCCCATCATGCCCGTGACAGCATTTGTCAACAACGTTCAAGTCAAGGCACTCCAAAATGGCGGATCGTGAAGAGGGTAAGTGGCCGCTCTCAAACCAAACGCTATATAGAGTATTAAATCATATCCATATATGTCAAATATGTGGCAACCTACTCGCAAAAAAACTGTTAGGTCTAGTTACTCTCTCGGTCTCTGATCGCACTCACTCGGTGTGTTTCAATGTATCAACGTCATAGATTCATAGCAACATTGTTACCACGTTATAACGCTATTCATTTGACGTTTTAGACTGCTATTTCCCCACATACACTAATGGATTCTTATGTCAAGATGTGCCTGGAAGAAATTAGATTTATAATCCTCTCCTTCCAACATGGTTTTAGGCTACTTAATTTATACTGCTTCTCACGAAAACGAAACAGAGTTGCCAATTTCAAATGGCACAATTAGCCAAAAGGTCTGATGGGGATATGAATACTTGTGCTACTGCCAATTCTTTGCCTCTTGTACATAAAGTGCTCTACTTTGTGTCTCCCGTCCCAAGACCCAGAGAATGAGGACACGTATGAGGTGGTCGACCTGACACAATATGCCAGGCGTCAACAATGGTGGGGCTGCCTATTTGGTGGGAACAATTCGGGTCCTATGGCTGAGAAGTATTCGGTGGCCACACAAATAGCACTGGGTGGTGTGAGCGGCTGGTAAGTCCTGCAGGCCAGGGTAGCCTATATTGATTATACAACGGAGCATCCTCAGGACTGTTCTTTATCATGTGATATCTCTCTCACATTTACATTTTAGTCATTTTGGTGGTCAATGCTACTGTACTTTATACATGGTATGATCAAAAATACAAAGGCTTCCTCTGTAGATGATTCTATTGCCCTGTTGATTGTACTATATGCAGGACAGGGTGTCATTTGAGTTTTGCATTGTCTCTCTGTGCCAGGTGTGCGGGATATCTTTTCCAGAAGGTGGGGAAGATCGCAGCCACCGCTGTTGGTGGAGGATTCCTGTTATTGCAGGTAGGAACTCAACACAAGTTTTTAATGTACAGTATAAAAGTCTAAATGAGTTATTTCACATGCTGGTCACCCACTGCGAAGAGGAGCTTGCTCTTTAGCTACAATACTATTAGTTAAAATCATTATTGTCATAGATTATTTTACATTGCATTTTTTGCTCTGTTTTTTTATCGGCCCGAAAATAAAAACATTATATTCTCCAGATAGCCAACCACAGCGGCTATGTGCAGGTGGACTGGAAGAGAGTGGAGAAGGATGTCAACAAAGCCAAGAGGCACCTGAAGAAGAAAGCCGACAGTGCTGTACCAGAGCTCAGCTCTTTTATCGACCAGGTAGCCCACTGTAGCTGGTCAACATAACATGTCAAACATTTCATCGTATAATATTTTATTCTTCCTACAAGGGGCAACTGTGCATGACAAAGCAATGTGAATTGAACTACTTGTTCAGACTAGGCTACTAAGTCAAAGGATCAATTATCCATATGCAATCGGATTTGTTATTTGTCTTAAAAGGATATTGCACTTTTCTTAAACTTTAGTACAGTTATTTATCTCTGTCTCTCCCAGTCCACAGAGTTTGTGAAGACAAACGTTATCGTCACCAGTGGATTCTTCGGAGGCTTCTTGCTTGGGCTGGCATCCTAAGAAGACATTTTACATTTTAGTCATTTAGCGGACGCTCTAATCCAGAGTGACTTACAGTTAGTTAGTGAATACATACATTTTCATACAGGGGCCTGCAGTTTATATAGGAATCACTTGAGAGGTCTGGCTGTGAAGTGAAGTGACCTTTTAAAATGGTGGTGGGAATAACATGAACAGAATATATATACAGTATATCAGATTGAGCCAATGTGTAATTACACAACCCACAAACAGGTAACGCGCTTGTAAACACTCTGTAATGTATACCTACTGTACTGTTTCACAATACCTACCATTATAAGTCGCTTTGGATAAAAGCGTCTGCTAAATGGCATATTATTATATCTACCATGTAATTGCATGGTTTTAGCACCACCTGATATAAACTGGAATCGAGATTTCCTGCTGCTCCACCAAATAAACAAAACCATGTTTCTAGCTATGCTTTAGCTCTGACTCAAGGCAACCCAAAAAGGAACTAGCCAGTGGGTCCTGTGGGAAAACAGTTATTAACCAACACTCGATAAGAGCACACAAGTGTTGCGATCCTGTAGATGGGATCCAGTGGTCCTGGCTCTGATTCATATATTCATCATATGAAAAAATAGAAACACACACACTCATCCAATGGCTTTGATCTGGCGCTGGAGATGGAAGTATGTACATATGTAAAAAAGGATAGGAAGGTGCCACACACTGCGATCGATGCTGTATTTATTGAGATCGACTGTGTGGTCTTCATCAGAACTTCATGCACGTGTACAGCATATTTACAGTGTACTGTTGCACTTGTTACACATGCTCACCTAGTTGGGCTGCAATTCGGGAACTTGGGTCTAGTTCTTTGGAGTGTTTATCATGTTTTTCTGGTCAATATAGTCCTACACCGCCAGTATATTCAAGTCATGCAGTGCACCATGTTGCGCGGGAAACTTTGCACAACGTGTGCCATTTTCATTCATTGTATGAGTTAATACTTCAATCACATTATATTTAGTGATTCAGGATTACCATGACTATCATTTTTTTGCCTTTATGAGGTAATTTAGCCTCTTTTGTGTTTTCTCATTCACAGGAAAGCAATTTACCTTTGTTATTGAATTACAATACTGTTGTACTTTGTGTATATATTCTTAATATAAAAGACTAAATGCAACCAACAATCATGGCTTTCTTTCTTTATTTCAAATGAAAGAGTCTGTGTCAAGTTTAGCTTTAAAAAAAAAAAGATAAAAAACATAGTGTTTCACAGCGCCTCTCCTCTTTCTAAAGATCTAATTTACCTGTACTGTATATAAGAATATGAATATGTATATATGAATAGTGTGTAAATAGTATTTTTGTTGTCTCTTGGTGTCTTTCCTGTATATAACTTCTTTTTTTATTTTGAATTTAATGTAATATCTTATATTGTTCTTGTCTATTACTGTTCTGCACTTTGTCATGTATTTGAACATTTTATGTAGACCCCAGGAAGAGTAGCTGCTGCATGTGCAGAGTGCAGTAGCTAATATGGATCCTAATAAACTAAACTTCCTACAGTGCTTTGAGTTTAGGGCCCAGATCATTTCCTGCCCTCCTATTTGAGTTAAATTACCTTAATGAGCAAGCGTTTATCTTTCACGTAAGTCATCGTTGCTATGTTATTCATCTTCTATATTATTTCCAAATGTTGCAATGTTGCAAAATGTTCCTGTGCAATGTTACCATTTTCAGACAAGAACGTTGCAAAAAAAAAAAAAGTGCAACACTACATTCTGACGCTGCACTGTTGCCGGGCAACCGATGATAAATGGCATGCTCCATGGCAACCTCAAACTGGGGAAGGACGGAAGAAGTTCTCACAAGTTGCAGTTGGACGAATAAAACGTACATTTATATTCCAAATACTGCCACTATGGCGCTGCCGATGCTACCTGGCAATTCTCTTATCAAAAACGTACGTTTTGTAGTGGATATATTTGACGTTATTTTGGTTATTGAATGGCCATATGCTTGGCGAAAACATAACATTAACTAGCTCAACGGCCGGTAGTCCCGACGTATGGTCCTAGGGCTCAGGTCTCTCAGTTGGCTTTTCATAGCCGATCATTTAGAGTTGAAAACAGCAGGTCTGGGACAGGTAGGGGTTTCGTAGCCGCAGGCAGAACAGTTGAAACTGGAATAGCAGCAAGGCCAGGCGGACTGGGGGCAGCAGGGTGTCATCATGCCCGGTAGTCCTGACGTATGGTCCTAGGGCTCAGGTTCTCAGAGAGAAAGAGAGAACGAGAGAATTAGAGAGAGCATACTTAAATTCACACAGGACACTGGATAAGACAGGAGAAGTACTCCAGGTATAACCAACTAACCCCAGCCCCCCGACACATAAACTACTGCAGCATAAATACTGGAGGCTGAGACAGGAGCGGTCCGGAGACACTGTGGCCCCATCCGAAGAAACCCCCGGACAGGGCCAAACAGGAAGGATATAACCCCACCCACTCCGCCAAAGCACAGCCCCCGCACCACTAGAGGGATATCCCCAACCACCAACTTACAATCCTGAGACAAGGCCGAGTATAGCCCACAGAGGTCTCCACCACAGCACAAACCAAGGGGGGGGGGGGCGCCAACCCAGACAGGAAGATCACGTCAGTAACTCAACCCACTCAAGTGACGCACCCCTCCCAGGGACGGCATGAAAGAGCACCAGCAGGCCAGTGACTCAGCCCCTGCAACAGGGTTAGAGGCAGAGAACCCCAGTGGAGAGGGGAACCGGCCCGGCAGAGACAGCAAGGGCTGTTCGTTGCTCCAGCCTTTCCGTTCACCTTCACACTCCTGGGCCAGACTACACTCAATCATATGACCTACTGAAGAGATAAGTCTTCAGTAAAGACTTAAAGGTTGAGACCGAGTCTGCGTCTCTCACATGGGTAGGCAGACTGTTCCATAGAAATGGAGATCTATAGGAGAAAGCCCTGCCTCCCGCTGTTTGCTTAGAAATTCTAGGGACAATTAGGAGGCCTGCGTCTTGTGACCGTAGCGTAAACTACATGTTGACTAGCTGCGTCCATAGATTGTGCAAGTTCATTGCCTTATATAGTGCATTCTTGTTTGTTGCGAGGACATTAGGGCAGCAATTGGCATGTTATGAATTCCTGCTTTTCTGACTTTATCGTCTTACCACAAACCATAATATGCCCCTGCAATTGGCTCTGTTGTCTTTTCTTGTCTCACTTGTGACTTCCTTATCCTACAGTCGGGGAAAGACAAATTCCACAAGTCCCAGCATGTTGACTGTTCCAAAAGGGGTCCCTATGATGTTGGGCTCAGGGAAGCCAGGCATTGTATGGGAGTTGCTGCTGGGCCAGAAGGCTCAACCAAACTACTCTGTCTTCCCCAAAGGAGAGGGCAGTGACCCTCTGTCATGGGTGGCCTTTGACAAGCAGGTCTGTCATGGAACTTTGTTGTGCTTTCCAAATAATCTTTGTAGTGTGGATACACATTGTGGTTCATGGTAACCATTGTTGTCAAGTAGGATGACTACAGACAGACAGACTGCTTTATTCTCACCATCCCTCTCCCTCAGGTGCTGAGCTTCGACACGTTATTTCGGGAGGCTGTGCCTCAGAAGCGAGAGGAGAAGTATCACGTCATGAAGTGTAAGATCTATTTCTATCTGGAGGACGATACCATCCAGGTGGTAGACACAGAATTCAAGAACAGTGGGATCCCACAAGGTGAGGTATTTTACCCTAGGTCTTGAGCAGGTAAATCGCTGATCAATATTTACCTGCATTTCGACCCCCTACCCATAGGTCTCTCAGTTCTTCCAACTCACGAGTTCTTGCTCTGAGGACACACACACACACACCCACACACACACACACACACACACACACACACACACACACACACACACACACACACACACACATCATCACTGATAAACACACACACACACACACACACACATCATCACTGATAACACACACACACACACACACACACACACACACACACACACACACACACACACACACACACATCATCACTGTTAAACACACACACACACACACACACACACACACACATCATCACTGTTAAACACACACACACACACACACACACACACATCATCACTGATAACACACACACACACACACACACACACACACACACACACACACATCATCACTGTTAAACACACACACACACACACACACACACACACACACACATCATCACTGTTAAACACACACACACACACACACACACACACACAAAAATCCCCTTCTCTTAGGCTGAACATCTGAAGACAGACACACAGAAACCAGTACCTGCAAAAAGACAGTTGATCACAGGAAAAGCCCTCTATGTTTAAAGGGGTTTGACTGTGACAAAATGTCCCATTTTAGATTTTTCCTATTTCCAGGAACCCTGATTCGCCGCCACCGCATCCCGCTGCCCCCTCCGGATGACAAGTGCTTCTACACGGTGCACGACTTCAACATCAACCAGCAGATCGCGCACCTTCATGGTCACCGACTGTGATCCCCTTCACCAGGAGCTTCCTCAGGAAGATGGGGGTGCGGCTCAGCAGCCCCCCCACCCTCCACATCCACACCCCCGGACACCTACAGCAACCTGGGAGAGAGGGAGGAAGGGACAGGTGATAAGAAGGTGACATTATGGATTTAGTGGCACCATCTTCTGTGTTTAACATAGTGCTATTCTATTAATCTAATGCCAAGGCGAGAAACATGTCAAGAGCAGAAACTACTCAGGCTGATTGATTTCCATTGTCCTCTGACAGATAGAGCAGCTCACTGCACTGATGCCACTGTCGGAAAACAATATATGTATTGAATATTATCACAATGACTTGACTACTGTACACACAGCAACTATCTGTAGCTACCAAGCTGTATACTGTAGTCTTTATGTATTGATGAAGTATACAGCGTTGTTACTGATCTGTCTGGGTATCCACAGATGGAGGAGATCATGACGCCGCTGCATCCGTACGAGAGGCAGGACAAGCTCAAGCAGTTCCTAGACCATGACGGCAATGTGCTGCGCTTCTACTGCCACTGGGACGACTCGGAGAACACGTTCGGGGACCCGCATGAGCTCACCCTGCACTACTTCCTGGCCGATGACACCATAGAGATCAGGAAGGTAATCTACCCCAACTCAGGGCAGGACGCCGCGTCAAAGTTCCTGCACCGCAGCAAGCTTCCCAAGGCGAGATGGGAAATGTAGTTTGTACAGAGGAGAAAGGAAGCCCAATGAGTGATTGTATAAGACTTTCCCAAGAGTAGTGATATGTTTAGGTGGAAGTGTCACAAAAACCCGACTATGCACCTGTTGGAGGTTTGGAGCACCAGGACTCTTAACTACATAAGGTTTGAGTTCTAGTGACCAGTTGGGAACCACACTAACCATAAAACACAAGGAGGCAAGATTAGAGCAAAAACGATGGACATTTGTTTTTAACAAAAATAAATAGGTAAAAATGTAAGCCACCCACTAATGAGCTAAAGTGGAATTTTATTCCACAAAAAGAGAAAAGGTCTTTCTCCAGTTTAATTGGAAATCCATTGTTTTGTTGAGTCTATTCCTTAAAATCAAAAATCAGTTCTTTAAAATCACGAGTCCAGTCCGGTGGAAAATAGTTAAAAACTGTGCACTTCCCTGTTACTCCAATCCGTATTTTCTGCAGTGGTGTAAAGTACTTAAGTAAAAATACCTGAAAGTAATACTTAAGGAGTTTTTTATGGTATCTGTACTTTACTTTACTATTGATATTTTTGACAACTTTTACTTTTACTTCACTACATTCCTAAAGAAAGTAATGCACTTTTTACTCCATACATTTTCCCTGACACCCAAAATTATATGTTACATTTTGAACGTACAGGAAGGAAAATGGTCAAATTCATGCACTTATCAAGAGAACATCCCTGGTCATCCCTACTGCCTCTGATCTGGCGGACACATTAAACATACATGCTTCATTTGTAAATGAAGTCTGAGTGTTGGAGTGTTTGCCTCCATGCTGCTTCTGCACGGATTTAAATACAGGCTACAATATGCGGTGAACCAATGGGAATACATCTGAATGATTGTACCTGCATTCTCGCGAGGGGAGGTGTGTGCCATCCGGTCCATGAGTGCCTCTGCTTTCCTCCCGTTGTTACACTCCAGTGATTATCTGCAATGCTCCTGTGAATCCACTCAGTGACACTCCAAAACAAAACACAAGTGAAATCACACAATACACATGTGAAAGAGTAAGAGCAAGCCATTTCCTGGTAGAATGCACAACATTTTCATTTGATTTCGTCATATCATGACAGAAGTGTAGTCAAGAGGAAAAGTGCCTCTTTCTCTTTGCTTGGATGGCTTCTCCCTCCCTCCTTCCCTCACAGAGCTCTCATTCACTCTGACAGGTCTCTCTTTCTGTCTCTCTCCCCCTCCCTCCCTCCTCCCTCCCTTCCCTCACAGAGCTCTCATCCAACCTGACAGGTCTGCAGTAACATCTAGCTGTCCCTGAAACACTGTTGTGTCTCTGCCCTAGTCACTGTTCAGACACTAACTCAACATGAAAGATGGCCTCCGCTCATTCATTTGTTTTCCTTATTGTTTGCTCCAGTGATTGTCATGCTGTTTGTTCCGCTGCCTCTCTCTAAATGTCATCCTGAAAGGTTGCATCTGAACCTCCTAGCCAGTGGGACATAAGGATTTTCCCCCAGATACAAATGAAGCCTGTCCCTCAAGACAAATGATGATGATGATGAGTTGGTCTGTTTGTCTTCGTTCTCTTTCTCCCAGTGATGCTGCTTCCATTCCCAAGAACTAGCCACCTGTGGTGTGGAGGTGGTGTGGTTTGTGTGTATGTGTTTTAGCTTGGCACATGTGTGTGTATACTGTATAAGTGTGTGTGTGTGTGTGTGTGTGTGTGTGTGTGTGTGTGTGTGTGTGTGTGTGTGTGTGTGTGTGTGTGTGTGTGTGTGTGTGTGTGTGTGTGTGCATGCGTGTGTGTGTGTTTTTAATTCTGACTCTTCTCCATCTGTGTGTTTTCTCCTCTGTTCTCTCCTGCAGCATGCTCCCATCCCGAAGCGTCAGCCCGGAGAGATCACAGACCGTACGGTGCTCAAAGTGTATGGTCCTATGGGCCAGGCAGGACGCTACATCCTGGACAGCCTCAAAGTAAGGTGTTGCTAGGAAATATTAGACAGTAAGATGGTCACATTTGTCCATGTCGAATGTTAAAATAGAAAAGAAGCCTGTCATTTCTGTGACCTGTAAGGGATGTTGTAGAAACAGCAGTTTGGTTCCAAAAGCTTTATCTCTGGGCCTCCCGAGTGGCGCAGCAGTCTAAGGCAGTGCATCACAGTGCTATTGGCGTCACCTCAGATTTCTGCCCTGCTAGAGCTGCCCCCGGTCAACTGTAAGTGCTGTTATTGTGAAGTGGAAACTTCTACGAGCAACAACGGCTCAGCTGGTAATCTGTTTTAGCCCATACCTTAGCCCATCGCCTGCAGTTCTGGTGTATAACCACTGGATGTCAGTATACGTATAATATAAACTTCACTGCATTGCTCTGGCAAACTCAAGTGCACCCCTGTTTGCTGTTGATGTCAATGGCATTTTGCTGTTTTCAATGTCAAGTATTCCCATAATCTTTAAATGTTTTAGATTGACCCCTAGATGCTCTCCATATCTGAATTTAGATTTTGTCATTCATATTTAGTGAAGGTTCGATTTGTGACCGGCTGGAGATTAAAATAACATAATTATAATAATTTTTACCATCAATATTATAATCATTTTTCATGCAAATCTCTCCTCTGCATCAAAACCATGCAACTCTTACATTAATAATTGTCAATAAATCAAAAAGTGTTTATATACTGTATATAACAACAACATTTGTCACAAAGTGCTTTACAGTAACCAGGCCTGGACGCTTGAGTGATAGAGCGGCGTTTACAGTAACCAGACCTGGACGCTTGAGTGATAGAGCGGTGTTTACAGTAACCAGACCTGGACGCTTGAGTGATAGAGTGGTGTTTACAGTAACCAGACCTGGACGCTTGAGTGATAGAGCGGTGTTTACAGTAACCAGACCTGGACGCTTGAGTGATAGAGCGGTGTTTACAGTAACCAGACCTGGACGCTTGAGTGATAGAGCGGCGTTTACAGTAACCAGACCTGGACGCTTGAGTGATAGAGCGGCGTTTACAGTAACCAGACCTGGACGCTTGAGTGATAGAGCGGTGTTTACAGTAACCAGACCTGGACGCTTGAGTGATAGAGCGGTGTTTACAGTAACCAGACCTGGACGCTTGAGTGATAGAGCGGTGTTTACAGTAACCAGACCTGGACGCTTGAGTGATAGAGCGGTGTTTACAGTAACTAGACCTGGACGCTTGAGTGATAGAGCGGTGTTTACAGTAACCAGACCTGGACGCTTGAGTGATAGAGCGGCGTTTACAGTAACCAGACCTGGACGCTTGAGTGATAGAGCGGTGTTTACAGTAACCAGACCTGGACGCTTGAGTGATAGAGCGGTGTTTACAGTAACCAGACCTGGACGCTTGAGTGATAGAGCGGTGTTTACAGTAACCAGACCTGGACGCTTGAGTGATAGAGCGGTGTTTACAGTAACTAGACCTGGACGCTTGAGTGATAGAGCGGTGTTTGCAGCACTGACATCATAGTAACCAAAGCTTTGACTCTCATGGTGATTTCAGCAGTTCAAGCCCACTGTGTGAACATAGTCCTACCCATAGTTGGAGTCCTGGAGGCTGTGGAATTATAGATGTAATTTATAACATTTTCCAACGCTGAAACAACAGCTCCAGGTCTGTCAGTCTCCCTGTCCCTGACTGACACTAGATACCCCACCGTCGCCTGATGATTCGCATCTGTGAGCGAGAAGCTTTCAAATTAAACCGCTATCAGCATGATTCATGCGCTTGTTTTTTCAGTAACATAAACGTTATTTTGCACCATCCAAATGGGGCCCACTATCTGTAGATGGGAGGGTTTTGTGTGTGGGGGGGTTCAACCAGTCTGATTGGGGGGATTCAACCATGGGGGGGGGGGGGGGGGGGGTTTCAACCAGTGCTGCCCCCCCCCCCCCCCCATGGAGAAAGACAGGTGAGTCAGGAAAGCACCACTCGGGAGATAGTCATGAGGATATCTCACTCTGGTCTCCCACATCAATACTCCATAAGACATTGTAGTCTGTAACTTACCTCTCATAAGTTTTTCTCTCTTTTTGTGTGTGCTTGAAACCTTATGCCTACAGTTCCTACAAAAGTCTACAACCCTCGCACATTTTGTACATTTTGTCAGGAACTTTGTCTGGAAATTAAGGGGTTGTAGTTTGTAGACACTTGACAGTAATGTATTCTCCTTAGATGCTGGATCTACTGTAAGTGTCTAGAAATGTGTTAACTCCTCTCGCTGTGTGTGCATGCACGGGTGTGTGTTTCCCCATACTAGACAGTTTAGTGGGGGGGTATGTTCCTGGAGCGTGGCAGGGTGAAGAAGCCTGGTCAGGAGCTGTTTAAGAGTGAGATATCCCAGTTATTTCAGTGCCCAGGACCTGTATGTAGGAGCCAGGCTCAACTTCAACAACCAGGGCTTCCTACTGGTTGACGCTGATGAGGACGCCTTCAACTGCATGGAGCAGCACGCTGAGGAGGTAGGATGGAGTTTCTCCTCTTCTCTTCTACTTCCACCACTCTTCTCCCTTTCCCTCCAGTTCCCCAGGGCTAACATGGGCTCCATCATCAGTAAGGTCCGCTCCATCCCTGAGGACAAACAGAATGAGATCAAACAGTTCCTCACCCTCAGGGACCCTGGAAACACTGGACTGATCCTCTATGAACCATTCAGATAGGAAACACTGGACTGATCCTCTACGAACCATTCAGATAGGAAACACTGGACTGATCCTCTATGAACCATTCAGATAGGAAACACTGGACTGATCCTCTACGAACCATTCAGATAGGAAACACTGGACTGATCCTCTACGAACCATTCAGATAGGAAACACTGGACTGATCCTCTACGAACCATTCAGATAGGAAACACTGGACTGATCCTCTACGAACCATTCAGATAGGAAACACTGGACTGATCCTCTATGAACCATTCAGATAGGAAACACTGGACTGATCCTCTATGAACCATTCAGATAGGAAACACTGGACTGATCCTCTATGAACCATTCAGATAGGAAACACTGGACTGATCCTCTCAGGTAGGAAGCTGGACTCAGGAACTAGGGCCCCAGTATAAATTTAGTTGTCAACAAACTATGGCGTTTGAGTCAAATGTTACTGGTTGTTTGTTGTGTGTGTGTTTGCCAGGGGCCTGCTGGTGGTCTGTCAGAGCACGACGTGATGATGCCAAGTCGTGGTTTCTGTGAGCGCCAGCAGCCCGAGGCGGAGGTGGGCCTCATGCTGGCCATGGCTCAGGACCACCTCCGCAAGAAACACTTTGAGAGCTTCTGCGACATGACCCGATCCTTCATACACGAGGACCGACACAGATAGGGAGCCATACACATATACACACACAGACACACACACAGACACACACATATACACACACACAGACACACACACAGATACACACACAGATACACACACAGACACAGACACAGACACACACATATACAGACACACAGACACACACACAGACACGTAAGCACACACATACAGTCACGTGCACACGCAGGTACACACATATACATGCATGGGCGCGCGCACACACACTTTCGAACAAACACACACACATACCTTGACCCCAAAAACCATATACACCCCAAACCCACACAGACAGAGCCACAAAGACAGCCAGCGACACAGCCTGCCATCAATCAGCTGGCCAGCGGCCCCAGATCCCTAGCTGCTTGAGTAGCAGCCATTAGTTCCAGCAATGTGTGAGTGGAGCATTGGAACCAGAGGATCCCCACAGACCTGCATGGCATGTAGGAGCCGCACACACACACACACACACACACACACACAGTAGACTGTGGCATGTAGGAAATGGATGGCTAGCCACGCCACAGGGTCAATCAGTATAGCTTGTTTATGTGGCCATGTGGTTACCCTGGGTTAGTTTCAGATTTGTCTTAAATGTCCTCTTCCCTATCCAATGCTGCTGTAATGAAGATGGTATGTCATAATGTCAAGGACTGGCTCCAGACTCCTCAACAACACACGGAAAACAGCTGTGTCCTCACACAAAAACATGCACGCAAGTCTTGCATCTCGTCTTTCAAGCTTGGCATCAATGATGATTTCTCATCTGTGCTCGTCTGGTCTCCCCTGTCTAATCTCTGCGCTCGTCTGGTCTGGTCTGGAGAGAGAGAGAATGGGTGGGAGAGAGATGGAGGAGAGAGAGGAAAAGAGGGAGAAAGAGATAAAGGGATGGAGAGAGGGAGGAGGGAGGAGGGAAAGGTGGATAGGGAAAGTGGGAAGGAGGGAGAGAAGGAGTGAGATGGGGAGAGAGATAGGGGGAGGGAACGGAGAGAGAGAGATAAAGGGAGGGAGGGAGGGAGGGAAAGGTAGAGAGCGGGAGGGAGAGAGAGAGAAAGGGAGAGGGGGGAGGGAGAGAGGGAGGGAGAGAAAGACGGAAAATGAGAGAGGGAGGGAGAGAGACATGGGGAGAGAGAGAAACTCTGTTCACAATCAGAGCCCACAGAGCCCCAGGACAGCAACACAATTAGACCCAACCAAATCATGAGACACATTGGAAAGAATCAACAACAAAAAACAGTGCAAACTAGAATGCTATCTGGCCCTAAACAGAGAGTACACAGAGGCAGAATACCTGACCACTGTGACTGACCCAAAATTAAGGAAAGCTTTGACTATGTACAGTGAGCATAGCCTTGCTATTGAGAGGCCGCCGTAGGCAGACCTGGCTCTCAAGAGAAGACAGGCTATGTGCACACTGCCAACAAAATGAGGTGGAAACTGAGCTGCACTTCCTAACCTCCTGCCAAATGTATGACCATATTAGAGACACATACACTACATGACCAAAGGTATGTGGACACCTGCTGGTCTCATTCCAAAATCATGGCCATTAATATGGAGTTGGTCCCCCCTTTGCTGCTTTAACAGCCTCCACTCTTCTGGGAAGGCTTTCAACTAGATGTTGGAACATTGCTGCGGGGACTTGCTTCCATTCAGCCACAAGAGCGTTTGTGAGGTCAGGCACTGATGTTGGGCGATTAGGCCTGGCTCGCAGTCGGCGTTCCAATTAATTCCAAAGTTGTTCGATGGGGTTGAGGTCAGGGCTCTGTGCAGGCCCTGACCTCAAGTTCTTCCACACCGATCTCGACAAACATGCTGAAACAGGAAAAGGCCTTCCCCAAACTGTTGCCACCAAGTTAGAAGCACAGTTTGAAGCACAGAATCGTCTAGAATGTCATTTTATGCTGTAACGTTAAGATATCCCTTCACTGGAACTAAGGGGCCTAGCCCAAACCATGAAAAACAACCCCAGACCATTATTCCTCCTCCACCAAACTTTACAGTTGGCACTATGCATTGGGGCAGGTAGCGTTCTCCTGGCATCCGCCAAACCTAGATTTGTCCGTCGGACTGCCAGATGGTGAAGCGTGATTCATCACTCCAGAGAAAGTGTTTCCACTGCTCCAGAGTCCAATGGCAGCGAGCTTTACACCACTCCAGCCGATGCTTGGCATTGTGCATGGTGATCTTAGGCTTGTGTGTGGCTGCTCAGCCATGGAAACCCATTTCATGAAGCTCCCAAAGAACAGTTCTTGTGCTGACAATGCTTCCAGAGGCAGTTTGGAACTCGGTAGTGAGTGTTGCAACCAAGGACAAACGATTTTTACACTCTGCTGGGATACTGTGCCTTTCTAAACCAGCTACATGGACCTATCAGAGAGGACTAACAATGGCTGCCGTGACTTTCTTTGCATCATCACGTCCTCAAGTCTCTGTCTCATAGTGATGATATCAGAAGAGTTGCCTGATTCTGCTTGAGGACTTGCTTGGGGTTGTTTGGCCCATCATCCAGGCTCTGCGTCTGGATTAGTGTCCCGCTCCTTAAAAGCGGATGTTGCCTGTAATCCATGGCTTCTGGTTGGGATGTGTACGTACGGTCACTGTGGGGACGACGTCGTCGATGCACTTATTGATGAAGCCGGAGACTGAGGTAGTGTACTCCTCAATGCCATTGGATGAATCCCGGAACATATTCTGTGCTAGCAAAACAGTCCTGTAGCGTAGCATCCGCGGCATCTAACCACTTCCGTATTGAGCGAGTCACTGGTACTTCCTGCTTTAGTTTTTCCTTGTAAGAAGGAATCAGGAGGATATAATTTTGGTCAGATTTGCCAAATGGAGGGCGAGGGAGAGCTTTGTATGTGTCTCTGTGTGTGGAGGAAAGGTTGTCTAGAGTTATTTTTCCTCTGGTTGCACATGTGACATGCTGGTATAAATGAGGTAGAACGGATTTAAGTTTTCCTGCATTAAAGTCCCCGGCCACTAGGAGTGCCGCTTCTGGATGAGCATTTTCTTGTTTGCTTATGGCCTTATACAGCTCGTTGAGTGCGGTCTTAGTGCCAGCATCGATTTGGGGAGGTAAATAGACAGCTACGAAAAATATAGATGAGAACTCTCTTGGTAGATAGTGTGGTCTATAGCTTATCATGAGGTACTCTAGAGTTCCTTAATATTAGACATTGCGTACCAGCTGTTATTGACAAATAGACACACACCACCACCCCTCGTCTTACCGGACTTAGCTGTTCTGTCTTGCCGATGCACGGAAAACCCAGCCAACAGTATTTTATCCGTGTGAAACATAAGATATTAGAGTTTTTCATGTCCCGTTGGCAGGACTGTCTCGAACGGAGCTCATCAAGTTTATTCTCCAGTGATTGCATGCTGGCCAATAGAACGGATGGTAGAGGCGGGTTACCCACTCGCTGACGAATTCTCACAAGGCACCCAGATCTGCGCCCCCTGTATCTCCGTCTTTTCTTCATGCGAATGATGGGGATTTGGGCGTGGTCCGGGAGCAACTGTATATCCTTTGCGTCAGACTCATTAAAGAAAAAATCTTTTTCCAGTTCGAGGTGAGTAATCGCTGTTCTGATATCCAGAAGCTCTTTTCGGTCATAAAAAACGATGGCAGAAACAGTATGTACAAAATAAGTTACATTCAACGCGAAAAACCCACAAAATAGGGGAGAAGGGTAGAGGATGGGACCGCAGCCTGTGCCTGACAGTAGTTATAGCCTCTGGGTTGTAGGCTAAGTGTGGATGCCTCTGCCTTGTCAGAAGCTTATCCCTTATCAGGCCGTTTCCTCACTTATCTACTCGGCACTGCAGAGGGGAATCAGGGGATCCAGTGTAATCAGAATGGATGTGCGTGCCTGTCTGCCTGTGGATAATGGCGCCAGAGGGGATGGCTGCCGTTTTATAGCTCCTAACCACATGCGCCCGAATACAACATGTGTAGACCTTACCGTGAAATGCTTACTTACAAGCCCTTAACCAACAGTGCAGTTTACTAAATAAACTAAAGTAAAAAATAAAATAAAAAGTAACAATAAAATAACAATAACAAGGCTATATACAAGGGGGCTACCGGTACCGAGTCAATGTGCGGGGGTACAGGTTAGTCGAGGTAATTTGTACATGTAGGTAGGGGTAAAGTGACTATGCATTGATAATAAACAGCGAGTAGCAGCAGTGTAAACAATAGCCTTACATCACCTCTCAGTATGATTATAATGAACATGGGTCTATCCTTGCACCGTTATGAAACTAGATACAAACATCTAATCCTGGTGACTAATGTTCTAGCATTACTTTATTGAGGCAAGCAGATCAGAGACGTCAA